ATTACGTTCAAAATCGCGGTTCGAATGTTTGAACAAAATTCGCCCTTTTGTGGTGGAAACTATAGTACCGGGACAGAGGAAATAGGGGGCTGCTACAATTCAATTTCTAATTTGTTTTAAAATAAGAGAACTAACCAACCTAAATACACCTTTAATGAGCATCTTCATAGGAAGATACATCAAGTTTTTTCATCTTTTGGCACGGTTTATTTCTTATGAGTGTATGTCAGAATCAATGTAACATGCAGGTTGAACCGCATTGCATAAATTAGAAAAAGCTGAATATAATAAATATTAATGGGTCACCGGTAATTACTTCGCCTAAGCGAATAGTACATTAACATTTAATGATGATTCTTTTAACCTTATATTGAGTATATTGTTACGCTTTAGTAGTTGAGATGCACCTTAATTGTTATATCTGCTTAATATGGTAGTTCTACGCTAGTAGTTGTTGGTTATGGAGTTTGGTTGTTTGGCCCAATCTTAATTAACCAGAATATATGAAGATAGTTAGGATAGTTTTCTATGGCCTGTAGTTTACTGACGGACTATGTACTATTTATATCAAAACTTGTCTAGAATTTTGGGCCTTAATAATTATTTGAGTATTTTAAATGAGAAGAAAAATAAGTCTATTTAAATTTAAAAGTTTTGAAAATTTGACTTAAATTTAAGTTTATATATAGATCCATTATTCCAACAGAGAATAGATAATAGAAAGAGCATTTCTGATTTTTACTAGGGGCGTAGCCCCTTGCCGAGTGTATTGATGTTCTTTCTCTTTTGTATCATAGTCAAAATAAAAACATGTTCTCTGTTGTCAAAATATGAAACCCCAGGAAAAAGTAACCGAACAGAATTCTGTGTTTTAACTTTAGGTCTCCATAAAAGGCCCTTTTCTGGTTTATGTATACCGTCTCTCTAAATGTAGAGAGGAGGAGGCGCGGAAGCCGCCTTTCATTCATATCTCTGAAAAATAAAACATGTCTCCTTTTTCAGGTTAAACTGGTTCTAAGTTTGCAACTTACTTACCAAGGGAAATTCATTGCCGATTGCTTGAGTTTCACAATGCTCAAATACAGTATACGAAACTATTTGCCCATATATGTGAAAAAAATCTGCAGCTAAAATTACATGAAATATAATGACAAAGACTATTGATTGTATTTGCATTAAACATCGTAAAAATATTTATAGCAACAAGAATGAAAAAAAAATCCAATACACATCCCATATACAAATGGTGGACACTATTACAAAAGCAATTTTAAGTTCTCTATTTATCTTCCACTGACAATGATAAATGAATTGAATGTTCCGAGCCATCCGAGTATTTTGAATATAAAAGTATAAACTACAACAAAAGTCTGTACCGGGTTACAGTTTATGTTAGCATTGTAGATTTAGTTTCAGTTTTTTTATTAAACCAAGACATGTAATTTGTATCTGGTTATAACAAACAAATGGACAGAAAATAACAGTCAAAATCAACTAATATCACATTAAAAGAATACAATTATGACTAGCCAAGAAAACAAAAATAGGAGATTGATTCATTATATCTACTACTTTCAATACAAATTTAGTAAAGATTGAATTCAATGCTATTTTACATTAATTGTAACAAATGGGAGAGGACGGAGAATGAGAAGTATTATCTAAATTTTAACATATTTTTTACAAAATAAATATAGTTGAGTAGGATTTTTTTATCACAATTATTCATTAATTTGTCAAGTTTAAAAATATTGGGATGGAAGAAGAGATTTATGACTAATGTCATTAATGTACGTAGTGAAATTCAACACCAATAATTTGATGTGGACATGTCTGTATTTTGCAATGTGTAATGAGTGATTCATTGTTCAAATTTACATAAATATTTGCCTATGTCAAATCTCAAATGGAAGTAATTCTAGATATTTTTTCCAAACAATGAGTATTTCATATGTACAATACGTACACTAAGCATATAGAAGCTGTATCAAAAGTAATATGCCACTCTTATAAAAAATATTCCAAGAGAACAAAGACAACAATGTTTTACACAGAAGTTTACATATCTTATTTTCCTTAGCATTAATAATTTTACTCCAGAAACACAACGCTCTTGCATTCAATTGCTAGACTAATGGAATTATGCCCAATTCACTATAAACCATAGAATTACGCTTAGAAACATTCTTTTATTTGGGAACGATACGCCGCTTTTCATGGAATGGCACTACTGTGTCACATTGAAGGTTCCATGATAACCGCCGTATGAACACATCTGCGGATGTTTCTAAGCCCTATACACACCATATTTGTGTTAAATGTTGAATTCTGCTTAAGCCGGTGCTAGGGGGCGTGGACGGTAACTTGCACTTTCCAGTACCGTCAATGAACAGGCTCAATCAAACCGAGCCTGCAACATTTTCAATTTTGTTGTGTTGGACTTTCCTTAGGGATTCTGTTTTTCTCTATTTCAGAAAGTTTTAAATACAAAATAAACTTACAAAAATACAATTTGAAAATTTGAACTTTATCATCTTTTTTAACCATGACACTGCATGAATATACATGTGTTTCATCGTTAAATTTTGTAGATATTCAAATAAAACATGAAAATGTCACTACATAGATCAAATTATTTTGTATCCTGTAGCAGAAAATTCATACGTAATAGGCCGAAATACATTTAAACGGCCTATAAAAATGCGGATGTAATAAAGAATACTAGCATGCCTTTACTATATGCATTCTTTGTCCGTTAAAGATATCAGTCTAGAAATTTATGAAATTCTGTTACAATGAAACATATGCTCCGCAGGGTCTCAATCCACAATTACATAATAAGTGCCCAGTTCCCGACAATCTGTCCACCTAACCGGCTTTCGATGATGTCAAACCAAATTGCATGGTACCAATTTCTCTGCAAGAGAAAAATTCCCACATGGTTTATAATTCAGCGGTGAGAGACAAATAATTATTACCGGTATACACAATGTCCAATGGTAATAGGAAAACTCGACCCTTATATTAAAAAATGTTATGTTTTATTAATTTGATTAAAATCAGCTCCTAAATACCGGTATGTTTTTTTATAGTCAGATTGATTTAACACACGATTTAAAGCAAGAATTGTAGCCATCATTTACATTAAATAATAGAGATAATTCGAAATCAATATAAGCTTCTGCCCCAAAGCTGCCCTATATTTTACCTTTAGTGAACTTTGAAATAACTGTGTGAAAAGCACGAGGGGTGTTCAAATATGAATGCAATTGGGTCAATTTTCAGAATGCTTAGCAAACATTGCCAAATTAACCATCTTGATCAATCCTTCAACATACTCAACACCATGTGATATACACTGTTTTAGTCTTTTAACCCATTTTTTAAAATGCATTTTCATAAATCTTTCCGAGATATAGTACTGGTCAGACACTGGAAAATAGCCGAAACGAGATTTTTTTTCGCGTTTGATATTTTTTTCGAGCAATGTAATTTTTTGAGCCTCAGAAAAAGGAAAAAGTCACAAGAAGATCTAGCGAATAAGGAGTGTGAAGAAGCTCGACAACCTTTTCCTGTTTCAGATATTCTCGTAAATTGCCGCTTTGTGTGACGAAGCATTGTCTTGCAACAACCTGACACCACGGAGACCAGTTGCTGGTCGACGATTTTTGAAATATTTCTTTGATTTATGAAGGACCTTTCCTTTGTGCTGGGTATATAGTACCCCAGGTGCAAAACTAAATATGCTGAGCAACCTTCCCATAAGGTTTAATGAATCTATGTCAAAACCTTTTTGTGTAATATGCGACACTAGTTGAAAATTGCAAACATTTTCTCAGTTAAGGGCAATAACTCTAAAACTACTAAATAAATCCAGACGAAAATACCCAGGTGCACAACTACACATGCTGATCAATATTCCTGTAAAGTTTCATGACTCTAGGTCAAATCCTTTTTGAGTTACATGCGACACAAGTTAAAAATTGCAAAATTTGACTAAGTCAAGGGCAATAACTCTAAAAATACCAAAAATATCCAGACGAAAATACCCAGGTGCACAACTACACATGCTGATCAATATTCCTGTAAAGTTTCATGACTCTAGGTCAAATCCTTTTTGAGTTACATGCGACGCAAGTTAAAAATTGCAAAATTTGACTAAGTCAAGGGCAATAACTCTAAAAATACCAAAAATATCCAGACGAAAATACCCAGGTGCATAACTACACATGCTGATCAACATTCCTGTAAAGGTTCATGACTCTAGGACAAATACATTTCGAGTTACGTGCAAAAGTTGAAAATTTGCAAAATTTTACTTGGTCAAGGGCAATAACTCTAAAAAATACTAAAAATATCCAGATGAAAATACCCAGGTGCACAACTTCACATGCTGATCAACATTCCTGTAAAGTTTCATGACTCTAGATCAAATACTATTTGAGTTACGTGCGACACAAAAGACAACGGACGGACGATGGACGGACAAGGGTAAATCAAAATACCCGCCACTAAAGTGGGGGCACAAAAATTAAAAAAATAAATATGACTTTCATCTGTATACCAAGAATACATCGACTGTATTTGGAAAGTGAAAAGAGTCATTTTCCCATTCATTTTGGCTTCCGTAGACAGCATTGATAGATAGCATTAAGCTAGACTGAAATGATTTACACAGGTATTGTACCACTCGAGAGCTTACAAAACAATTTTTGCGATACATGTACATGTGCATATTGCAAAACGTGGTTATACGCGAGATATTGGCCTATATTTGAACAACCCTCGTAGAATTGATGAAGAACTGAACTTCTATTGCTTCCAATCAAATCGTACTTTTATCTTGCTTCTCCCCTGATAATAGTCTAATAGCTATAAAAATATTTGATTGTCAACAAGCTGGTGATCATTACATATCAACCAATCATAAAAGTTGTTTTGAATTGAAATGACATAAACACTGTATGTATGGCTGAATCTCAATAGGATTATTAATTCGTTTAGATATGCCTTCAGTGATAGCATGAATGAGTCCTGGAATATTTTAATTGTTAAATAAATGTTTAACTTTAACAAATCTTGCAATAGTAATTTTATGTGGTCACATTTCTAAATGATGATGCAAAATTTAACAATTATCCTGTATGTTTCGTTTATGGTAACAGTTGTCAGCGGATACAAAAACAAAAGTGCTGGATATATGCTGTATAAGTATCTTATGGTTGATCAGGAATACAGCCCAAATGTTCGACCTGCAGTCAATAACAGTAATCCAACAACAGTTAACGTCGGTCTAAAACTTGTTAGCATGGTAAACTTTGACGAAGTGTCCGAAACGCTGACAATTACTGCAAAACTAAAGCTTGTTTGGACTGATGACTATTTAACGTGGGATCCAAAAGATTACAACGGTTTACAGAGTATCAGCATTCCTCAATACAACATATGGAAGCCAGATGTTGCCTTGGAAAACTCTGTTGAGAGTTATCATGACCTTGGAGGGAAAAATATGTACGTTGCAGTAAGATATGATGGACGTGTTCAGTGGAAACCTATAAATGTATTTCGGTCAAGTTGTTCTGCCGATGTCACCAAATATCCTGTAGATGTCCAAACATGCTGTCTTGATTTTGAAGCATGGAGCCATTCCAAAGGATCAGTAAGAATAACAAACAGTTCTGATCATGTGTTTCTACATGCCGAATATGACGGCCATCCACAATGGCAAATAACCCAATCATCAGCAGAAACAAGGTTTATTGGAGATAACTATTATGTTATATTTTGCCTTTTGCTTAAACGTCAGTCACAATATCTTTTGCTTAATATCATACTGCCGATATCACTTTTGTCATTATTAAACAGTTGCGTGTTTTTCTTGCCAGCTTCTTGTGGAGAGAAAGCAAGTTTCTCGGTAACTGTATTCCTCTCATTAAGCGTCTTTCTTACAATTGTCAGTGAACAATTACCACATACATCGGACAACGTCTCCATATTTAATTTATACGTTTTCATTCAGCTAATTATTAGCACGATCGTTACTATGACAGCGTTGATTCAAATCCGTCTGTTTCATAGAGACGACACACGAAAAGTTCCTGACTGGCTCAGAAAATTCTTAAAATCTATCGGTTTGCTTGGAAAACAAACGTCAGATCGTACAAGAAAAGACGCCGAAGAAAGTGAAACAAACAATATTGATCAAACGTCGAAAGTAACGAAGGAAAACTTCCCAGAAAATGACCAAAATGTTACTTGGAAGCGTATTGCTGAATGCATGGATCCATTGTTGTTTGTTGGATATTCTTGCCTTAACATTGTTTGCACTTTAGTTCTTGCTTTTTGCATTGTTAATGCTTGAAAGAAGAGTCGTTATGAATTTATGGATATTTTAAGATATTTATTTTCTGTTCATGTATCTTTATCCTAATTATAGGGAATTGTTGTTGATGTACTCACTTTAGATATTGTGATTTAAGATTATTACGGAGACAATTATTTTATGTCTGTAATTTTTTGAATGTAAGAATCTATCGCGACAGCAATTTCTATAGAATACAAGTTATCGATTAATTATATTATATGTACACATATATAAAATTATGTGGTTTTCGTCGACGGATGGTTATGGTCGTTAATTTCAATTAACTTGCTTTCCACCACTATGAGTTCCAATCCGATTTTAGACTTTTGATTCTTTTTGCGAGTAATAACATACGGAAATTATGCACGAGATGATTAAGGTCTTCATCCAGCAATAAATCTGAAAAAATACATTTACAATGTCGATGTGACTCAATTAAAAATACGCTGATAAAATAAAAACAAAAGCATCGCATATCTGGAATACATTTCAATGATATCTATTTTAAATATTCTAAATATATTGTGTATTTAACCATTTACAAACTCCAAAGCAATACAATAAATTAATCAAATGAATTAAATTAAAGAAATGATATTTCCAAATAAAATGAGTTTTGAGTAGAATTTAATCTAAATTAAAAAAAAAAATTCACATACGCTTAAAGTAATATACCAACTGTACACACATTTCTTAAAAATCTGCCCAGAGAAACAGAAACATGCTAGAATGTCGTTTCACGGTGAATTCTTAAATTGTTTAACGTGTTCTCTCGCAGCATTTTCCCCAGCAACAAGTTATGCACTATTAGAATGTGTTTTATTCACAAACTTTAGCAAAATTCAGATGTAGAAAACCCCACATTAGTATTCTGTTAAGTTGTTATACTGTTATCATGATGGAAGAACGCACTTGTGTCCATTGCAAAAAATTGGCTAAATTGAAATTAAACTCATTTGTTTCAATTGTAAAAATGTTCAATTGAAATAGTACACACTTGTTACCACTGTAAAAATTAGATAGAATAAAGATAAAACAATGCGCACTTGTTATCATTGTCGAAATGTTGTTAAAGGTGATATAATTATACATTATATAATTGTGTACGATTATGATTTTATTTTCTTTGTAAATGGTACTCTTTTGAAAAAGTACATGTACTTTTTAAGAAACAATTTATATTTTCAAAATAGTACTTTTAGTACTTTAACTAATTATAGTAAATAAGTGTATATTTTCAGTTTGTTTGCTAGAACATGTATACATGTATATTGTGTATTTTGTGTATTCTTTCATCAGTATATGTTTCAAAGTAAATTTGTAAATCAATTCTTTTATTTTATATATGTTACTATTTAAAGATGTAGAGTGAGACTTTCTTAAACTTATCTTATTTCACAAACTTTATGAATTTCATTTAAAATTGCATACAAAAGATGCTACATAATTATGTCTGAACATGAGAGGTATAGCTTAAATATCAGATTTGGTAACACAAACTTGAAGTCTAATCTATTGAGCACCAGGATTGGACCAATTTTATCCACCCCGAGGATGCCTTGAAAATATTGGTATAGATCCATTAGAAAATTCGTCAAAGGAAATTTCTTGGCCAAGTGGCTGTTTTCTTGAAAAGTATTCAATAACTTTTTACTATTTTATCCCTTTATACGCGTGTGTCCATAAGATGGGACAAATTTTATACTTTGGGTCATGATCGGTACAGAAGCACTTGGTAATGCTTTATGCAAAACTTTGTCGTCTCTTCGTGTTTTCGCTTTTGGATTTTCGAGGCAACAAAGCGAAAATACGTCAGAAGTAGTGCGAAAATACGACACATAAAATATGTCGTATATTCGCATTCCATCTGTTGTATTTTCGGTATTTCGCGTTCAAAAACAAAAATGCAAATACACAAATTAAGAGACGTCGTCTCTTTGCATTTTTGCTTTTTCGCATAGTTACATTTTCGTATTGTTGCATTTTCGCTTTTTCGCATTGTTACATTTTCGCATTGTTACATTTGTTTGTCATTGTATTTCTTTATGTTGAATTGCCCAATATGTTGGCTGCTTTTTAAACTTGTCATTTGACGTTTTATCTTTCATATGCAGTCTTCATAAACTGATTTTCCATTTACATGCATTTGTTTAGCTCCGTACATTGTTTTTTCTCATTAAAGCAAACCCTTTCTATTTCTAAGGGACCGTGATTCATTGAATGGCACGAAAGTGTCGCATTAAAGGTTCCACGATAACCGCCAAAGGAACACATCTGCGGCTTTGATTTTACCGGTTTCATATTTAAAGCAGCATTAAATGAATTTCATAAAAAAAGAAATAGATACATTTCGTTTATCAAATGTGTTTCATATCGACTTCCGTTCTTACTTTGGTGCCCAGACAACCAAAATGAGTTTTATAAGCCTAAAATTCTGCATCATCATTGTGGCGAAATTGGAATTACAATTTCTATTTGCATGAGAAACTCCGCCTTTGGGTCATCTTTACATTAATGGAAAATCAACAAACATTTTAAAGAAGCAGTCCGAATTTAACGGCATATATCCGCATTAATTTAATTACGGAACTTTTCATACAAAATCGATCTTTTTATGAGATGATTACTTTTTTGTGAACGGCAGAGTTAATCCACCGTGAAACAAAAACGGTAAAAGTTTGATCATATTTACGATAACAATTGATTTAAAATTCGTAAACGAACTTTAGTGCTAACGCAGGGTCATAACTAATGAACAATATTGAATTAGATTTACAAGAATACTGTTAAAAATGTTAACGAAACTGCAGACTGCTCGGTTTATAAGCCGACCCAGTGCGATTTTGTAAAGTAGTCCGGTAGACATACCTCCGACTCATTTTGATTTATTATTTACTACATGATACTTTCCTACAAAGAAAAGGTTATATCCTTCACTGTTTGGATTTGTTTATATATCTCAGTGGCAGGGAATGAATAAATTCTTTCATAACATTTTTTTCTGATAGACAGTTTGTGACAGCTTCTTGTTAAACTTATATATATTAATTTGTTACAATTGGTTGAATATGTAATATTTAAGAAATACAAATTAACTTGAATCACACCGGTAACGGTGTATTTTACGAATATTTTTTAAAAGGATCACTCCATAGGTTATAAAGCTCTATATGACAGGATTTAAGATCATTTATAAGTCAAAGTTGGGATGGTAGGCTACAGGATACCCAAATTTTGACCCCTCAATATTATAGCAGTTTTACTACACGTGTGACAGGCCCCAAAAATTGTTACGCTTAAAGTATGATATAGTCTTATATATGTTAAAAAGACTCTATCATCACATTATGGATAATCAAGTTATTATTATTAGCTAATTTGGAAACTGATATTGCTTTTATCATGTTTAAAAGAAAGTTGAATTCTGCTTAACCGTTTTTGGTTTTTTTTTTTTATTTTATTATTGCAAAATGATGTTCTTTCTGTACCATTCGAATCTTTTTTACACCATTACCAAAGAGATGTCTCTATTATAGACATTGTTTGTATATGTGTAGTGCCCAATCTAGATACCATAACATTTATTGAAATGACGCTATGTCTAGTATGCGACTAATCTGACACCCCATGCCAGATCAAATTTTCCGCATGGGACTGAAACTAACGGAAACGACAGTCACCGTCACAACGTCGACAGCATCCAGTCACACGGGACCACTTGAAAGGCACCCATCAAGGCACAAAAAGCCATAAATGCCGCTATGCAGCATGTTAATTGGACTTGCTTTGCATTTATTTACAAGAAACGTAATGTCAGTTACTATTGCAAACACAAAGTCATATATTTTCAAACTTGGCCCCATTTTATACACTTATACCGTCTCTACTAATTGCAACCAGGATCCGGATCAAGAACCGACTTGAGCGGTATTAAATTTTGTCAGCACAAATCATCTCAAAGGACCAGAAAAAACATATCACCACTGAGATGAAGTACGAGGCAATTTTTAAAGCTGTCTCACAACACTTACCACCTTTTGTTGTGACTGTATTAATTCAACTCTAAATAAATATATAAAAACTTGTTTCTTTTGCATTGCGCCAAAAAAACTCTTCACCAAATTACCCTGAATCATTCAAATAATAAAAGTCTGTAATCATTACAGTGAAAGATTATTCTTTAATCAGTCAGCTAGTTGTGATATAAAATTGTTGATATTTAATAAATGAAACAATCACAAGTATCTTAAAATTGAGTGTATTTATGGTACAGAGCTTTAGGGTTTTCCCTTTTTATGTCTATACTTTGTTATTAAGATCGGTTTGATTGCAAATTGCTAACTTTTGTGTACATGTAAAGAAGCAAGTTTATAATGAAAATGTTATGTATATTTAACTCAAAATGCATATATAACTGTTACCATTTTATACATACTCTTTGAGATATTGATTTGTTTACAGAGAGAGTTTCTAAAAAAAGCATTTCAAGCTTCCTACTCAATCCGTACATTTTATTATTTGTCAATAATCATGTAAATGAAATGTTTATAAATAAAATATTGTTTAAACTAAAATTGCGGAAGCTATTAATTAAGATATTGTTTACTAGAAGATTCCTCGTTCTACTTTATGAATAATGAATGATGATTTTGTACTAGTTAGTTTGTTTCAATGTATTCATATTAGTAGAGACAAATGAGAAGAGATAGGAGAGAGAGTTCAGTCCATTGTTGAGTTAATGTATACTTGATAACATCTCCCGGTCAATGATTCTACCAATTGGGACTAATCGTATTCAATAAAATCATATTGATTTCGTTACTACCAGTAACATGTTATATAGCTGACTTATTAAGTATATTGTTACGAAAACTTCTCTTTTGTGAAAAGCTTTGTTTATTCACTTTTTTCGCTTAAAAGTAAACCATTTCTCTATGCTGGTATAATGAACAAGTCAAGTCCAAGTGAAAGCAGGATTATATTTATTGCAGTAAATCAAAATAATGCATCATTTTATTCTCTATCAACAGTCAAAACCAAAGTAAAATCCTTAACAACTTCAACAAATACATTTCTGCAATTAATAACCAACTCAACTCAAAACCCCAACTCACTTCAAAACTCCTCAAAAACCCCTCAAAACTAACCCAGCTAGAAAAGTTCCCAGCTTATATACCCTTCTGTTTGCGCAGCTAGGGTGGTGTGCAAAAGTAGACTGTTGCGCGACCCACTTGCGCTAACCAGTTTTGCACAACTCATTGCGCGACCTGAATGTTGCGCGACCTATTTAAAGTGCTGACAATGCCTTAACAATGTTTAAAATAGCCTGCAACTAGTTCAGGTATACAGACTGTTGTACAATACAAACATAAGTACAAAAATACAGAATAGTTATATAAATTTACATGTTTAAACACTCCATAGGATAATAATTATCTGTCCAATAATGCATCTTAATAGTGCAAAATATACTTGCAGTAATAAAGATATATGTACTATATATGGCTTATAAGACCAATACACTTACTACTGATTGACATTTCTATAAACTTATAATACTGACTGATAATTCATTAAACAACAGAAATATAATCTCTCCAGCTTTACAACATACAGCTCAACATTTGAACCAAGTAACCTGTACATAGATAAAGCTGTGAGTAAGGAATCCCATTCATAAAAGCTGATATGACCAAATTATGCTTTGTTAACAACAATTGAGATGCTGAAGGGCTAAAAATAACTTAAACCTTGTACTTTTAGACTGCGCGACCTCTTATTGCGCGACCTCTCCATATTTGGAACTAGCATGCCTGGGAAAGCTGATTCTGCGCGACATTTCCTATTGCGCGACCTTAAGTGTCGCGCGACCTTTGTCTGCGCGACCTTTCCAAATTTGAAATGAGGTATGCTCATAATCTAAAAATAACTGAGCTGTGCCAATATTCTGGACTGTTAATGACTCAATTGTTTTACAACAAAAATGAGTAAAAGTTAACATAAACATTTTAACCAGCTTAGAAATATTGTCCAGATTTACCATCCTAAAAGAATACTCTTCTAGTAAAAGATTAGTTTCAAATTTCATAACACTATCTATCAAAACTCGTGGCGACCAATGCATTGTCTTTTGATATTTCTCTTTTTTAATATGAAACTTTTTTTTACTTTAAATTAAATGAGTTTGAGACAGTGAGGAAATATGTAAATGTACTTGAATGATCTTATAAGGAGTTTTGTAATAAATTATTGAATCTAGAGAACACTACTATACAATATTTTATTGCGTCAATAGCAACCAACCCAAAACAAAACATTTGTTACAATTTATTTGTTCACAATTGTATAGAACAGTAAAAAAGTACAATATAAAAGGTACAAAAAATGGCCAAATGTCAACATACCATGAAAAATTAAAACAATAAAACATAGAAATCAGGCCCGTATGAAACGGAATAGGTGGGGCCAGGGGGCTCAGCATCTCAGTAATTCCACAAGAATATCAGAACTTAAAATCAGTCAGTGGCGACTAAAGCAATCCTTAGTATTTATCACACGCTAAATTGATGAATTTTTACTTTTGTTAAAATCAAAATTAGACACAATGCCATGTTATATACTCTGAAGTAAAGAAATATTTCGAATACCTAAAATTGATGGTCAATGTAGACAAAGATTTCAAGAGCTCTGTGGATTTCTTGTAAAATTATTACTTGTCACATAATGTAAAAGGGGCTAGCTAGCTGTTAAAATGGCAATATTAAGGTATAAGATGTATAATTAACACTTTTTAAAGGGCATTACAAATTTTATATTTATAAACTGTACTACATCTGGAAATAAAGGCAAAAATCCACAAAAGTTTACCATATTGTTTGAAAAATATTACAAATTGAAATATATTTTATAGCTTGTATTAGTTTTATACAACAACGACAAAGAATATGTTATCATTATATGGAGAAAAGTTTTGCAAGTTTCATATATCTTTTAGTTGAAAAGTATTAATAAAGAGCCATGTTTTTTAATAACTACAAATAAAACCAATGACAAGTGTCTATGAAAAGAAGAAACAAAAAGAAAAATAAATGAAGAAAAAATTGTTTCGTCTTGGGTTTGAACATACGTCCTATCAAAACTATGTGTCCTCACTGAAAATGATTACTCTTTAGAAAAGAAATTCTGCATTAGGCATGCTATACTTTAATTGCAGTCTACAATTCAGCCTTTGTAAGGGCCAACGACCTTAATAAATATACATATTATCTCAAATTATGGCAAAATAAGGCTTTTACTGGTCAGCAAATCATTGTTTTATTTATAGATTATTTCATTTAGGTTATAATAAAAATCATCATAAACATCTGTTACGGCATTAAAATTCATTACACAGCAATCAATATTAATAATATTATATTCATTTTCCAAGGAAAAAATAATATTGAACACCATGGAATGGCTTAAAGTCCTAAACGTTTTGGGAACGTTCATTTTTAAACTTAATGCGTAGTCGTTCTTTTCGCGGAGGAGATCCCAACCCGCCCCTCCATTTGGATTGGTTATAATTATTTAAAATAATTTAAATAAAACTCAAGCACTATTGGCCTCAATATTATGTTTGGACCATGCATGAACAACATCCTTTCGTCTATGAAAAGGATTAGGGCTTTTATAAGCTTCTATATGACATAGAGAGATATTACAAATTATTGTTTTCCTTTAATCGGAAAGAATAACCCCATCCTCCCTTGCAAAATATCTGATTTTTTTTGCTGAGAAAAAAACTTTCATATAAAATATATATCATTATGTACTTTTAAATGTTTTTAAGTATTACATGCATATCCAATTTGGGCCTAAGGTATTGCAAAAAGTACATAATTAACTATCAAATTTGTACATAGAAAAACAAAATACTTAACCCTATAAAGAATAAAATTTCACCTCCCATTTTTACTTCACAAGAGTTAAAAAAATTATTATATTCATGTGACAAAAAATTTCTGTTTGGCATAACAGTCAAGTCGGATAAAGGATAAAATAAGGTAAACTGAAAAATAAAAGTGCATTATCATGTCTTCCGACTTATTTTCATAATAACCAGATATAAAACTTCTTAAGCTTTTATATGGACGATTTCAACAACTATTAATTTGACTTCTTTACTTGCTAATATATATTTCCACATTTATTGCAACAATTATCTCAATGCCAGGTCCGTGATCGTAAGGGAGAATTCTTAAACAATCGTCTTTTCCATGCCTTTTTATAGCAATCTTGGCCACAAAGCTATACATGTATCTTTTGTGTTTCTATTAAAAGCTATTTTATATGATTTTCTAATATTTACCTTAAACTAACTCGGAATTGTCTATGAATTTCAACTACATTTCTATGTAGGACAATGCTCTTTTTGCCCTACCCATATTGCGCATGCACGAGAAAATACTACTTCCGGTCATTTTTTTCATAGCAACGGACCGCGTCGTAAAAAGGTCAATAATCATTATCACGTTAAGTAAAACATGCTCAATGTATAACTGTTAAATGCTTCAAATATTCACTGTTATAGATTGATTGTTCTTTCCCCTTTTATTCTGCATTATATTTTTATTTCTGAAACAATTCAATGTGACTCGTGTTCCTCTGGCAATTCCTCTTTACGAGCTGCCAGTATTAGGACAGTCATAGTCATACTTATTGTAATCATCAAAAATACCACCAGGAAAATATTATCAAATGCCTGTACAACATCTGGCCACGTTATCAGGCTTTTCAATGTTTCTTTGTCATACTTTTTATCATCACGTATAGTATCATCCAAAGGAATAACATCAATGATATTCTTCTTCTGTTGTTTTTGTGCTGCTTTATTTGGAATTGTATCAGTGCTACCTTTGTCAATGCGTCGTCCCTTTGAGGTAAACAAGATGACCAGTTTAAGCAGCAGAGGTGGAATTGGCATGTTCGAGTCTCGATGATACAGTCGTATTTGTATGATGGTCAGAAAAGCGATGATTACACTGAGCAGCGTGCAGATACATACATATATATTAAGGATCGATACATTGTCGGTGTTTTCGGGTAGATTGCTGCTTACAATAGTTAGAAAAACGGCAAGTGAAAGAAACACAGTGATCACAAAACTAGCCTTTTCTCCCGACTGGACAGGAAGTATGAATACACATAGGTTCATAAATGACAAAAGCACGATCGGTAAAAAAATATTCAAGATGAAATATGTTGGATTCCGTCTCAAAGTTAGTGAACATAATATGTGAATTTCTGCACCATTTTCACTTTGGGTCTCAATGTCTGTGTCCTCTACATACCAGCCGGAGGTTATCCCATAACCGTGAAAGTCAATGTGGTCTTCAACTGAATGTATTTCTATTTCTTGATTTGTATACCCCTGGGTTTCAAAAACCATTGAGCATTTTTGTGTGTCAAACGGGAATTTCCGAACATCTGCTGCACAAGTTGACTTGAACACTTCTACTGGATTCCATTCAACGACACCCTCATGACTCACTATTAAATTTACAGACGGGGAGCCCATATCTGGTTGTTTAGATACAGAATTTTCAAGAAACAAGTACGGTTTCCAGACTTTTGATTGAAGAACATGGATATGAGTGATATTTCCAAAATTAAGCGGATCCCAGACCAAATATTCATCTTTCCAAACAATTGTTAACTTGGAAGTAAGAATAATTGTTTGCTTAACTTCATTGAAATCAACCACCGCTATAACGGCAACGCTAACGTTTACATGTGTTGGTGTGCCCCAATCCTTCACTGGCCTCACTTCGTTGTTGTATGTACCATTGAGAAACAGGTAATTCCAAATTTCATGTCCACTACTGGCACCATAACATCCATGACAATTTGCTAGCAGTAAGAACACCACAAAGGTCACAAGAAAATATCCTTCTTTAGGTTTGTTTTTCATGTCGTCTAAATCAAATAGCTTTGTAAATAGTCAAAGCAAATTTATTACTGGTTCAATTTTGGTATTTGATTTCAACTGTTCTCGCTACCTCAATGTACCTAATTTATAGATTATATTGGTGCAAACAGTAAAAAAATAATAACGATTTTGGTTGTTATTAGGCTAGATAAAAGCGTTCTGTTGATATGTTTTCGTCTGATGACTTGACAAATAGTCGTGGTTTATACGTAAGCACTACTTTTTCATTTCGAAATAATTCTATATAAAGCTTAAAAAATATCCTGGCAGTAAGTCCTTATTTATGGTAAAATATATGCAGTCGCAATGACAGGTCCATAATTAAATTATTCCTCTGTATTAACATTCAAGTTATAACAAACGATGAAATAAACATAATGATAATTGTCTACAGTTTACGTGAAACGGGAAAATTTTCCAATAAGCAGCTTGCTAAATGTTTCAACTAGCTATAATCATAGGGAACATTTTGTTAAAATATGATAAACAAGATCAACAAGAAAAGGTGGCGTTCAATGAACGCAATCCCCAAAGAAAGAACAAGGAACATGATGTTAAAGAACAAGGAACATGATGTTAAAGAACAAGGAGCACGATGTTAAATAATAAGGAAAATTATGTTAAAGACATCCTGCAACGTCAATGATGCAAGACTTGCAATTTAACATTTGCAGTATAATTGGTGTTATTTTAAATACACTGTCACCATTTTTTTACATGAAATATTTCTCCTAATTACTATATATAATAATACATGTAAAATATTACCTATTCTGATTTTACAAGGTAATAAAGAATTTTGTTTGTGAGTTCTATCAAAATATTCGGTTTATCGCACATGTTCATTGATATAGTTGATAACAGCATTCATATTTTCACCTTATTTCTATAAATATCTGGAAAAAAAAGATCCCTCGGAAGTCTAACTGAACATTTTATGTGTTACTTTTGTTATACATGTGCATGTACTAACTGAGGAAAAACGTTACATGAAATATCGCTTTTTATTTCACTTAAAAAAATTTCAGCTTGTGATTAAATTAAATTCCACCCTGACACATGCTAGAAAAAATACAAATAAACAGTATTAACTGCTAGGTTAAATAAGTATACAAACAAGAATACAGATTTAAGTGGTGTTGTATTTAAAAATGTTCCAAGGATATATAAAAAATCCATTTTCATAAGTAACTTAATCGTGTTGTGCGTCCTTTCATATCACGTTGAGTAAAGGATCTTTGAGATACGGTATCATTATACTGAATTCCGAGAATAAAGACACAAATATTTTTCATTCATTTAATTCTAAAAATGATTGATTATCATCATATGTGTTCACTAATTATGTTTATTTAACCCCTCAACATCAATGGTCGCTCGTTTATAATTGTCATTAAATTGGCCGTTGAAACATTTTGTAAAACACATTTGTTCGGAGAATACAATATTTATAAATACAATATTTATAAAGAAATTAACAGTGTCACAAAACAAATAAGGCTAATGATTAAGAATTTAAATAATTTGTTAAATGATATAAATGATATAAATGATAATGATCCAAAATGTTATCTAGGACATTAACAGCAGCAGTAATTCCCGCATTAAACTGGAACGCAGACGTACATTAACAGATAAAATTACGCGAGCACGTGCCGTTGTTTGAAAGGAGCCCTCGACCCTCTATCAGATTTCAATACGTTGAATTCTGTAAAAATATTATAAAAGCATTGTCTGACAACTGTTAAATGTCAACCTGTACTTCATTTCCGTGCTGCTATATTTTTCCATTGATTACAGTATGTTAAGTGTGAAAGATCGACTACAGTTTAAGGCGGCGCAAGGGGCGTGAGAGATGCTGCATTATTTCTCACAAACAAAATCGTTCAATATTTAAATAACCTTGCCCTCTGAAAGCTTGTTTTATCAAAAATTAGAGAATGCTTTGGTATACATGTGGAGTTTTGTCATGACTATTACCCGTACTGATTTGAAGTCAGTATATCAAAGGTCAATGTCACTATGGTACTGACCTCTAAAAGTTTTATGGTGTCCTAAGACTTACTGAGTAGGTTGGTCATGACCAGCAGACGCTATTTAATTATAAAGTATATCATATTATAAAGTATATATACGTCACTGTGACACATTCTGTAAAATCCTTATGTAATCAATAACTTTACAAGTAATATTAAAATCTAAATGTGTGAAACTATGTAGGATCAATGTCACTGGCCTGTAGAAAACACATATTGATTATGAGGTAATTAGGTCAAGGTCACAGTAGCGCGTGAAATACTTGAATATCAAGAGTAAATGTTATCTTTATTATTATAACATTTGGCTTTCACAAAATATTCAAAAATATGTTAATATGCCACTGTAACAGAACATAAGGTGGGTCCATAATTGTTAAGTGGGCACATTTCATGTTTTATAACAGATTGCAAACATAATACTTATTAGATGTTTACTTGCAATAACATGTTACAAACCAGAATTGTATGAAATGAAAGTTTGAAAAATAAAGGTTCGAACAAGAATACGTAGTTTCGTTTATGTCAGGTGAGCAGTATGTAAGAACACATGAATTTGTTATTTCTCAAACTGTCAGCGGGCATAATAAACATATGTTGGAAAGGGTTTATTGTGCTGTTGATTATTGTAATTATTTATGATGATATAACTCTCAAAAGTCAACAATATTTCAATATTCGGAAAATTGATGTCAGTTGCATTTTGCAATGAAATAATTTAATTGGAATAAACAATGCATGGTATTGAAATTTCCCTAGAGATACTGTATAATCTTTATAATAAAGTGTTTTAACATATGAATATTAAACACATGTTGTATTACTTTGATGATGCTAATAGAAAAAGCAATATGTAGCAACTATGCTCTATGGATTCCACAACGATCATTTTAAGATAATGCCAATAATTTAATTGCATTTTATGCCGTTTAAAAGTATATCACTATTTAAAGATATTTTAAGAAGGGATTTCTATAACAAAAGGAATAACTGTTAATGTTATTGAAAATCGAGGTATATTTTAAAATGCCGTAACCGGGATGACGAAGACAAAACCTGAAATTCTTCGGAACACTCGCCGATTATTCCGAAATAGGGCTTGTAGATGTTTTCCGTTAAATATATAGTCAAGAATGCGCAGATTTAATTTATTTGACACAGCAGAATATCCTGAATCATGGGGGTTAGGTTATATTGTGCCTATATTTAAAGGTGGGGATCAGAAGGAAGCGAAGAATTATCGAGGTATTACACTAAATAACATCTTGTCAAAAATCTACTCGCAAATACTCCTAAATAGATTAACCGCATGGAGTGAAAAGTATGAAAAATTATCAAATTGTCAATTTGGTTTTCAAAAGGGAAAAAGTACGGTAGACTGTATATTTATTTTACATTCTATCATATCAAAAGTATTAAATAGCGGTAAAAAACTTTATACAATATTTATTGATTACGAAAAATGTTTCGATAAGATTAACCGATCTATACTATGGCAAAAATTGATAAATCAAAACATAAGTACAAAAATGATTAATGCTATAAAAATCTATGTATTCTGTTGTTCGCTCTGCATTGAAACATAATGGAAAAATCCATTCCAGTTTCATCAACTCACATCAAGGGGTCAAACAGGGAGACCCGAGTTCTTCTCATATGTTCATGATGTTCGTGAATGACATAATGGAACATATAAATACGGACATTGACGGTATATTTTCATTTAACGAACTTAAATTTTTCTTAATATTATATGCTGATGACCAAGTATTATTTACTACCACACCTGAATCTTTACAGTATTTATTATACGATGTAGAAAATTATTGCAATACAATTTGTTTAAAAATAAACACAAGTAAAACGAAAGTCATGATTTTTGAAAAAGGGAGACCGACAAATCACGATTTCTATCTTTATGGCGAAAAACTAGAGGTTGTTTCACCCTTTAAATACTTGGGTGTTTATTTTTTTAAAAACGGTAATTGGTATAGAACGCAAAAATGTATTGCAGAACATGCGTCAAAAGCTTTATATCGTTTATTTTCTGTGTTTAATCAATTCGAATTTAAGGTTTCTGAAAAATGTAAATTATTTGATACAATGATTTCATCTATATTAAACTACTGCTCGGAAATATGGGGTGGAAACGAAGGTAAAGATATTGAGCTGATTCACACTAAATTCTGTCGAAAAATACTTGTCGTAAATAATTCTACAAACTTAATCGGACTATATGGTGAACTCGGTAGATTTCCAATGAAAATAGTAAGAAAGGTTAATATGATTAGGTATTGGTGTAGAATACAAAACTTGAATGGCAATTCTGCTGTTAAACACATATATAACATGATAGTTAGTGATTTAGATAGAAATATTACATATAAACGGTTCTAATTGGGCATTTCAAATAAAAACAATGTTAGATAATTTAGGGATGTCAGATATATGGCGAAATCAAGGAAATCAGGAATATATATTAAATGCTATTAAACAAAGAATTTTTGATCAATACACCAGTTTTTGGTACAGTGAAATTAATAACTCACAGAGACTTCTAACTTATAGTAGATTTAAACATTCATTTGAACTTGAATCATATCTTGATAATTATTCGATAGACAAAAAAATTCAAAATAGCACTAACTAGGTTTCGTCTGTCATCACATAACCTAGAAATTGAACGAGGAAGGTATAATAATGTAATAAGAAGTGCAAGAATATGTCAATTTTGTAATCTAAATGTGGTTGAAAACGAATATCACTTCCTATTAAACTTGTCCATTATACTCAAATATTAGAAAGAAATATCTGCGACGTAATTATTATACATGGCCATCTTTAAATAAATTTGATCATTTGATGATGACAAAAAATAAAAAAAGAAATAGCAAATCTCTCGAAATACTTATACTTTGCAAATAAACTTCGAAAAGAACTTGAATAACTAATTATCAGCTTTCATCTAGTTTTTCTTGAAAAAAAAAATTATTTCATATATTTTATTTTTCCTTTTTTACATTTTGTACTTAATAATTTATTCCAATTCTGACTAAACAAAACAGTTTCTCTCTTAAATTACTGTTCTTGTTTATTTGTGACTTTTCTCTTGTCTTATGGTAGTGTTTATATTTCA